AGGGGGATGGCTATATGGAGAGAGCGAGCGGATAGACAGACGAAGGCCTATAGAAAAGTGACGTGCGCTTTACAATTATTTCGTAATGCAAGCAAATGTGACCGAGCTGAGCAGAGCAGCGAACAAAAAGCGCCAATAGAAGCGCTAGCTACACTCAGAAAAGTAGGGCTTCTTTCATAGAGCTTGGTATTACATTCAATATAGTATAAGAGAGATTTCATATTTGATTAAATGAAGAAGTTATACTTGTAAATATATTGAAAGAAACTTATTGAAAAAAATTTAATTTAAAAATATTTCTTAAAGTGCACATAACACAAGAGATTTTAAATTGGTTTCAATATTTAATTTTAGTTATTTTATGGAACTTTTTATTATAAAGGGAATATGCTCTAATAGTTTTACTTAAAATTATAGAATTAATGTGTATTTGGTTACAATTAAATTTAATTTATTACATATATTATTGGAAAAGAAAAGAACCTTTAAATTTTATATGCACCTAGAGAGGTTTTCTTTAGAACTCCACAAGATCTTAATATTTTAGAAACTTATTTCAAATTAAAGCTGTTGAGTATAAAGGACAATACATTTGTTATAGGTTTATCTTACTAATCTATCATAATTTAATTTAAACTTTCAAATTTCTTGTAGTTATTTTCTAGTTTTTCGCTTATTTTCATTCATTAATTTTATAAACCCATAAAAATAGATCAAATCTCTTGCATTTAAGTGGCTAATTCCAAGTCGTATCTGCTTGAAAATCTTATTTTTCATTCCCATTATTAGTATTCTTGTTAAGGATATGCACATAGATTTATTTCTTAGAGTGCAGATTAGAGTTTGCATCTTAGGCTTAGGCACTGGGTGACGAATGCCAGTCGGTGGTTGCACTACTAATCGGACATGTTGCGTTGACTTGTTTATGACTGTGAGCTTAGCACACTCCCTCAACCACACACACACACACACACACACACACACTGAAAGCTAACCCCGCCCACCAAGAATGAATTGTCTGAGAGGGCGGGCGAACTTGTGGGAAATCTGTAAATAGCTGCGAAAACTGCAAAGCCTGGGGATATGGGAATATATATATATATATGTATATATATATAGAGGAGCCCTGGCATGGATCGACTACAAAGGCAAATGTCATCAAAGTTGTGGACCCGCGGGAGAATGAATGAGCCAAGCCCAAGGAACATAAAACAATTGACGAGGGACACCACTGCGTATGCGTAATCTTGTGCAATTTGCACACACTCATACACATAAGCTACCCGTTGAACTCTTTAAATTGCATTTACTGCGTTGACTTTGACACTTTACACTCGTTACCCATTTTTGTGATTTGTTTTTTATTTTAAATTTTACTATTTTTACTATTTGTATTTTATTTTTGCAATTACGCGACGTCACACAGCTGGACACAGCTAGAGAGCTCCGTGCACAGATTTGCAGTGTGGAACAAGGTCGCATTTATTCGGTGCACTTGCAATTGGTCAGAGGCGGAGGTGGGGCATTTCAAGGGGGGTTGGTGGTCTCTCTCTCTCTCTCTCTCTCTCTCTGTGTGTCATGCTGCGCCGACCGAAGGTCACCTGCAGTGCGTCCCATGCCCACAGACAATGTTGCCAGCGTTTGCTGAATTATTATTATGAAATGAATACAAATATTTGTGGATCAGTCACTCAGACGGCGGCATCATCCTTGAGGGAGGGAGGTTCTTCAGGGGGGAGAGGAGAGGTGATTCAGTGGCGGGAAAATGCGAGTGACAAAGTGAAAAACCAAAATGTGATGAATGATCTGAAAAATGAAATTGAATTTGAACTCTTAAGTTGCATTGAAATGGGTTTTTAGCATTATATATTCTCCATTTCAAAATTAAGATTTAAATGAACTCTAAAACTTTTTTATTTTTTACCAAATTAAACTCTTAATTAAATAAAATGTCATTTGTAAATATGTTTAAGAAGTAATTACTTAAAAATAGGCAAAACATTCGATGAAAGTTGTCATAGTTCTTATTTTCCTAACTAATTAAGAAGGCTAATTTAAAGAAAACTTCTGCTGAAAAAGACTTCGAAGAAATCTTTGTATTGCTAGAAACTTTATTTGTATCTCAATCAAGCTTCTTTTTATTTTATTTTTATTTAAAAATCCAGCTTTTAACCTATTCAAAAAACCTTTCCAAAAATGTCTTTTTAAATAGCACTTTCAAAGCACTTGGCTTTAACAAATTTCTTTGCCATTTATCAGTTATTTTTCTCTCCACTTTTCCATGAAGATTGATTATTTTGCATGCGAGATACAGATAGAGAGAAGACAGAGGCCCAAATCGAAGCCAGGCGAAGCAACTGGAAAATTCCAAACATTGATTAATGACAAATTGTTTGCCGCCGTCTAACGTCCAAGAAAAAAAAATAAAGAAAAAGTTTCGACTTTCCTGTCGAGCTGCAATTCGAGGCCTATTTTCATCGGAACTGTGCTGGGCTTTGGGCGGAATGTTGGCTTACCTTCTGCGCCCCGGAAAAGCCCCCTGGAAAACCCTACCCCCTGCTCTTACTGCTTTTCCCAATGCCCACCTATAACCCGCTGTTGCTGACGCTTCTTCCGTTCTTTGGTTTAGTTTTTCTTTTAGCTTACTTTACGCTTTTGTTGTTGCACATTTTATTAACATTTTCATTTAGTTGTTTGCTCTCTCTCTTTCGCTCTCCTTTATTTCTCTTACTTTTTTTCTGCCTTTCATTGCAATTTGTGTTTCTATGCATTTTTGTGTGTGTTTTACATTCGTTTTCGTGTCGCCAACTGCATTTCGCCACGCCCCTCAACCAAGCCACCGCCCACCGCCCAACGCCCACCCAACCCCAACCCCCTCTTGGCCCGGTCCACTTCCCTTTTATGCCACTGTTGCGCTCTTTTGCAGTTTGTTGAAGTTTTCATAATCATTGTCGTCGTCGCTGCTGCTTTTCCTATAGCCGTGCCGCCGCCTACTTTCGTTTTGGGCACAGCCTTCGCCTTTTGTTTTCCATACGCTTTCCCTGGGGAAAAGCCTATTTCCATTCTCAGCTCAGCTTGTCTCGAAGAGAAGGAGAAAAGTTTGCAAGTTTCACATTTGGGAATGATTTAATATGATTAGATCGCTTAATTAATTTGTTTTCTTCATTTTATTGAGAGAGAGTTTGTTCCTAATGGGGCCCATCCACAGTAGAACATGTTGGCCGAGCCGCTCGTCGAGCAAAAATTTGATTTGCCACCAACTAGTGGCAACATGCTCGCAAACATCATTTGCTGGAAAATCTTTGAGAAGCAAACATGGCAACGGACAACGACAGCGCCACTTTTTTTGCACTTTAATTGCACTTTTGGCAATTAATGTTTGCGCCTTTGGCTGGAAAATAAAGTTTTCAATTAAAATAAATAAATTTTGTTGACATCTTAGAGCTGCTCTATTAGGTGTTGTCGCTTCAAACGTTTGCTTCAAATGATGTTCGTGCCAACGTTGCCATCCATTGTCGAGCATGTTGTTGCGAACACAAGCAAGATAGAATGATTTCTATTTTGTTCGAGCGGCTCGACGAACACGAAATTTGTACGCGAGCACTAGCACTAACGATGAAAATTTCGTCGAGCTCAACATGCTCGGCCAACATGTTCGACTGTGGATGGGCCCCATAAGTGGTTTTCCTTTGAATTCAAATAGTTCTTTTTACTTCCCAAATGAGCGTGTTTCCTTTTATTACAATTTTATTCGTATTTATTAAAATTGAAATGCATTTACTATTTTTGGCTTGGAGATATTTTTCTTATAAGCTTATTATGATTGTAAAATTTGATCTTTAAATGTGTTTCACTAAACCCGTAAAAGTTTCCTTTGAATTAATTTACCAAAAATTAAATGTTTTATTTGTTGATTAATTAACAACTAAAAGATAACTTTCATAGATTCAGAAAAATAAATTTGAAGATGAAATATGCATTTATAGAATTAATTGCAAAGTTATTTATGGGGTTTTATTAGGATAATATTTATTGTCAAAATATATTTAACCTTCCAAATTTATCATAATCTAAAACCAATAAAAAGTTGTATAAAATAATTGGGGAAAGTGTAATTACAAACATTTTGGATTCCAAAAGTGAAATAAATAATAATTTTTAATTTTTTATTTTGTATGGTTTTACTAAGTACAAAATTAATTACAATTTTACGTTCGAAAGAAACGTTTTCAAACAGAAATTTCATGAACCTCCAAATTAAACCATTGGAAGCATTCAAATTTATTTGATGTAGTATATCTTCAATAAAAAAATTAATAATTAATACAATTTTATTAATTTATATTGTATTAATTTTTTAGTTTAATAAATTAATGTTTTTAGAGCATTTCCCTTGCCTTCTAATTAACGTAAAAGTAACTATCTTTTGGTCTCGTGTTATATAAGCCGTTGCAGTGGCTGGCTGGAAAATGGGTAAGAGGAGGAAAGACGAGACGGGGATAACCTGGGAGTGAGTGGGTGAGATTTCCAGCATGAAAACAATGCCGGGAAAGCGGCTTATTTTCTATGATTTAAATAATGATGAAGACGGCAGACAACGGCGGACCACCGCAACTGGAACTGCAAGTGCTGCCTCAGCGGATGATGATTGAGATAATAATGATTATTATGATAATGATAATGATGATGAGGTTGGCTAGAATGGAAAATGTGGGGATGATGATGATGATGAGGTAACTAAAGCAACACAGACCTACGACAATGGAAAAGCCACCTTCACCTAAGGTAGAGGAAGTGTCTGGACGCTGGTAACTCTGATAAAAGATCGCTCAGCTCGCTGTTTTGTTTGTTGTTTTCTCCGTCCTGGCCATAACATTTATCTAATTTTTTTCACCCTTTCCCCAAGCTGTTCCTCATTCTCTTTGGCATATACATCAGATATATATATATAGCTAATGCCTCATTTATCTTAAACTTCCCCCCTTCTGTTTTCGTTGCAGAAAAATGTTCATTGGCGGCCTCAGTTGGCAGACAAGTCCAGGTGAGTGAAAAACGAGTAAAGTGAAAATTAGTGGAGTTGTGTGAACAAAAAAATTGACTAGGTCTTAATTATAAAGGAGGTCAATTAGCAGGGGATCATATATATCTAAGTTTATAGCAATTCTTTGCTAATAGAGCAAGAGGAAATATATAAAACTTAATGAATTAGTAGGAAAAATATACAAAAAAGTTAAGTATATAAATCAAATGCAATTTTAAACTTTAGGAAATTTAGGAGAAATAATACATTAACTAATAACTAACTTATTTTTAGTAGGGAAAATATATGGAAGGTGAAAAGCGATTCTAAACTTAAGGAAACTTAGGGGGGAAAACACATTAGTAATTTTTGTTAATAGAAAGATCTTCGTTTTCTCAATTTCCATATCATTTTTACCTATTATTTGACTTTTAAAAATTCCTTTTATTTGCCTATCTTATCTATCCTTGTTGATTTACTTTTGAGGCCTTAAGAAAACCCATATATAAATTGCAATCTCTACTGCCTGCTGCAAAGTGAATTTCTCAATGTCTTAGGAATATATATACATTTGTTTGTAACTCAATTTTGTATCTCAATTTGAATTGCCATACGAATTGATTTTGGTTCCAGTTTGTGTTTTCTGCAGGCCCAGGCATTGCTTTTTGTTTAAATTGGAAATTGTAATTGATCAAATGCTTGAGATTTGCTCCCGTTTTTATTTATTTTTTTCTCCAACTGAATTTGAATTTCGATGTTGCCTCAATTGTGGAATATACCGATGTACCAGAGATACTGCGGGTCTTGGAATCTTTGTGAGAGTCTGCCCCCATTCCTTTCCGCATAGTTTCATTAAGCTAATCAAAAGACCAGAGCGCTTGGTGGTGCATTCATATTAACCAAATTTGGATGGCACTCGAAAAAAAAAGGAAGAGATGAAGGTCTCTGGCAAAAGCAGAGATTCCAAGATGCGCTTTTTTTTTTTGGGGGGGGGGGGCGCCACCCAAAGCAAAGCCCTTATATGTAGTATCCGCAGTGAAACATACTTACAACCATATATGTAACCATATAGCAGATATGGCACATTCTCACATATACTATATATCGTTTGCTTTGTGTTTTTGTTTAGCGAATTTGTTGGCTCCGCCCATCATCAGAGTGCCACTCGGCATTACGCTAACATATTATAACCTATAGCGCATATACCCACACTCAAAAACACACACACTCGAAAACACACACTCAAATACACACACTCGCCCATATAGTTTGAAGAGTCAATGCGGTCTTTGGTTTGTCTCTTTATTTTAGCCTTTCTCAATGCTTTCCTTCTTCCCATTGCAAAAGGGGAGGAGGAGCGGGGGCGGTTTCCTGTACCTGTGCCAAAAAATTTTCAAATTTTCAAATGGCTTCTTCAATACCTCACCTCTCTCTCTCTCTCTCTCTCTCTTCCTACCTCTCCCTCTCTCCGAGTGTGTGTTTTTTTGCCCGGCTCTTTTGTTATCTTTTGCCATTTCGGTGTCCAATGTGTGTGTGTTTTTGTGTCTTATTTCTTTTTTAATTTTTATTTTCGCTTCTTGGCAGCCGCCGCCAGTTGGCCCCATGGAGCTGGTAAATTAGGCAAAAGCCAAAGGGTCTAAAAGAACTCACAACGGGCCACCAAAAACCGAGCATTTTCCACCTCCCACACTTTTTGCGCATAAAAAATTGTCTTTTGGCGGAATTCGAGACGAAGCAAAAGTCAATTGGAATGGAAATTGCAGCTGAGAAGATGATGGTCAGAAGGGGAGGGGGAGTGGGGCAATGAGTGGCACGTGAGTCAATCACAAAGAGATGGTCCCAAGGGGAGGGAGGGGAGATTTAATGGTGTTTTAAATCTTTTGGAAAATAGGTGAGAGTTCATTTCATTTAAATGTGGGGTGGGGTTCATTTTAAGAAGTTCATACGTTCATGAAAATATAATGAAAAATCATTGAACAAAAAGGGAATTAATAATTATCAACACTTAAGTCTAAGTGGCTGCGATTGAATCTTATGTGTACATTTAGTTTATAGCCTTAAGCTAAACAGTTGGTTTATTAATATTTAATAACAATTTTGTAAATAAATAAATTCAGATTTTCTGTTAGTTGCAGGGATGCTGTTTAATTAATTTGCACTTTGAAGTCATTTACAAAAAGTCAATAAAGATGATTCAATGATTTTTAACTTCTTTTGCTTAAGAGACTGTACCTTTTTGGTTTACATTAAACTCTAGTTAAAATAAATCAAATAAACAATAACTTAAATGGGTATTAAATAAAGGTTTTCAATAAACCTTATTTGGACTGTTTTCTTTTATGGATTTCTTTTTAGTTTCTTTATTTTATAAACCCTTGCAGTCAGATGCTGGTTAAGAAGAAGCTTAAATTTGAGTAAAATTGATTTCTGAATTAAAATTCATGATTTTTTTCTTTAGTTATATGTTTCTCAAACTTTAATTTGTCAAAAAACAGTGTCATATAGAAATATCGATAGAATATTTATAAATATCACAAATGCGAATATTTTAAGCTTAGTTATGATCGATTTCCAATTTGTTTTTATAACACAATTGCAAGCTGCAATGATATTTAATATTCGGCTTCCAAAAGTTCGTTTTCTGTCTGGATTTTCTAGTACAAATTAATGAATTATTTTAATTTAAATTTAAATAAGTCACAAAGTGAAAGAACTCTTCAATCTGATACACAACCTAAATGATCTCCTGAACGTGAATAAAAACAATTTAAAATTTAGAATCAAAGAAATTAAAAAACAGACAATAAGTTCAATTCCTAATAGAATTGTATTTTCTGTTTCAATATTTTAATTTCCCTTTAATATTTATGTTTCTCATTTATCTCTCTGTATTTGGTTTCTGTGATGATTTCAATTCAACAGCATTTTGTTTGCTTTGTTTTTGCTTTCTATAAATTAGTTAACATTTATTTTGTTGCATTTTTGTATTCCCCTGAAATATTTTGTGTTTTTTTTTCGTAGTTAATTTCTTAAATAAACCTGTCAATAAATTCGCCCCCTCTTCTTTTTTTTGATCCCAGATTCAAAGCAAACAATTCAATTAGCTGCCATTTGAGCGCAAAAGGAAAACGAGCTTTTTTGCCTAAGACCACGCTTAGGGAGATGTTCCTCCTGTTCGTCCTGTTTCTTTCCTGCTTATTTTTTTTCTTGCTCCTGTCATTGCTGCATCTCGCAATTCGTCTTTGCCCCACTGCTTGTCTCTTGGCCATCCCTGTCTTGGCCATCTCTGCAGTTGTATTTGCTGCTCTTGTTGTTGTTGTTTTTGTTGTTGTTGATGATGATGTTGTTGCTGTTGTTGTTGTAGTGTTATTGTTAATGCCGTTGTTGCTGCGGCGCTCTGGCGCTGAACTCAGAGGCCGGAACAGCAGAGCAGAACAGCTCAAGTGGCTTCCACTTCCACTTCCCACTTCCACTCGCGCCAAAAGCTTATGCTTTGGATTTTTCGCAGCTATCGCCACTCGAGCACACAGTCGTAGCCACAGTCGTGGTTAGGTTAATAGCATCAAGAAGTCTGAGTGAAGGTAATGAAATTATGCGAGCTTAACTTGTCATTTTGGTGGGAAAAAACATTTATTTTTGCCTATTTCTCTTAATGATAATAATAAACTAAATACAAGTTAATCGTTTACTTTAATTTGAAATAAAATTATATCATTTATTTAAATCGCTCGTTTCAAGCAATTTCTAAATTTTGGTTTAAGAATTTCTAGATTTTAACAAATATTTTAAACTGAATTGAGTTAATATTTTATGTTTGAACACAATAAAAAATATTATATCAACCTTATTGGTCCTTAAAAATTATTTCAGATTTCAAATTTTTCATCATATCATGTTTTTAAAGACATATGTTTAAAAATATTGAAAATCCGTAAAAATGGTATCGAATAAAGAGACAGTGTTTAAAATTTTCCATTACATCATGTTTTTTAGGGAATATGTTTAAAATATTGAACTCCATATATATTACATATTAAACTTTACAATCTTAATAAATCTCTCAACAAAGAATTCTAAAGCTTCCTTATATTTTGATATAAATTTAGCTCACAATACAAAATAAAGACCAATTAACCCATTTTTACAGATTTTCAAAAATCAGATTTGTATTAAGCTCAAAAATTTTCTAAGCTTGTATCAGATTTCGAAACTTTCGTTTAGCTGTACTATAATTTACTGGAAATTTTTAAATTTCTGGTGTATAGTTGCTATAATTTTACCTTTAACTATATCTACATATGCCCATAGAGCAGAGCCTGGGCCTCCTCCTCCTCCTCCTCCCGCACAGTACACACTCGAAATGTGCTGACAAAGACCTAATCTAGGGCGTCTATAAACATGCGCTCGAGTCTAGCTTGCCAGCGTCTAACGGCATAGTTAGGGCTGCTTTGGACAGGTCGGACTCTCACTGGCGGGATCTGAAGCTGAAGCTGGGCTCTGCGTACGTGTTGATAACTGCACAGATGATGATGATGATGATGATGATGATGAGGATGATGAGGATGGTGGTGGCCACGATGATGACGATGAGGCTGGGAGGCAATAGAAGCATCCGCAATGCAGTGCCGGCAACTGGGCGACACTCGAAAGCGTTTGACTCTCTTAGGTGGGCCAAGATTTTTAATGATTGGCACGATTGTCTTAGCTACTTAATGACGTTCTCGAGGGCTGGCAGCCGCCTCCGATAGGTGCCGCCTTTGTGATGCTTTCGTGTCAACTAGCAAGTCATATATGTATATAACTTAATGAACTTTGCCGTCTGCAAGTCAATTCATCCGGGCGGCGCTCCTTGGAAAATCTCCCAGACGACGTAACGTAATTTAATTTTAATTCTCGAAAGCAGTTTGCTGGAAGTAATTGTATGCATTGAAAACGCATTTCCATTTGCTATCGCCGGCAAACACTCGTCTTCGTCTTCCGACTTTGGTTCAGAGTTTTTGCCCGCCTTCTATATAGGTATT